GCTCCTTGAAGAGTCAAAGTTATTACTACTGTGGGTACCGGGAAAAGGGGCAATAGCGAAACAAAAGTCGCTCGTTTTCGCACTTGAACTGGGGGAATTCGAATCAAAACGCGACACAAATTTTACACCAACTTAATCCCTTTGAGCAAACAGCTCACCCAACTGTCCTTCGGTACATTCGGCTAAGAAACAGACAACAAATCATTGACTTGCAGACATTAGGGTCAGTGTCGGTTCTGATATGGTTATACAAAACATTGCCAGACTTATGATCATGCAGATCGATACGCGCCATTTACAACTGCGATGTGTTTCGACCCATACAGAGCTAGAACAAGCATATGAAGTAACCCATATATAAACAAAACTTCTTTCCAGCATAGCTGCACAATAATCAAGTATGTAGCAGACTGGTATTACAAGAATTAATAGGAAACAAAATAAAACAGGCAAATACGAATAAAACAACAAAACGGCACTGACAGCGTGAGCCTGGCGCCAATTAATACTCGTAGACGAACTATCCAATTAGTCAGGTTTCCGTGACAAAGATGGATACTAATTTTCGCTCATGTCTCACCCCACTGATGAGTAGGGAGCTACACTTTCCCATTGTAGAAACGGACGATTTTCGAGTACTTGGCTAAACAGAGTTCAAAATTCTCATCGGTTCACAACAGATAATCATCGTTTCCAGAGTGATTAATGGTATATTTTCCAGTATAACACACATTTTGAGACAAAATTCAGGCTTTAAAAGTAAAGTCACCTGAGATAATAAGTCATGAGTAAAATATTCATTACCAAGACCGTAATTTACCTGGAAAAAATAGAACCAAACTTCTCAACTCGGCTTTCGACCATGATTCAAGATTGTCCAGTCAAGTCGAATTAATACCAGGCAGCCTCAGTTCATTCTATTTACTTTTATCATTAGACGCAAACAAGCTTAAGGCATAAACTTACCTTATTAACTGATTCACGTTGGTGAAACTCAGCCAGTCAACTTACGAGACAAACGGATAAGACTTCACCGGCACACTTCGCACAATTGAATTACAGTACAACAATAGATTAACAGGTATGTGTAAAACATTACCAGATTCGTTCTAAAATACTTAAATTAAGCTGAAGTATTCGGAGCCCCCCAAATGTTAACTGTCTGGCAAGGGTTCATAAGCTTTATTGTGATCTGAACTCAGTGCAGTCCATCTTGTTTTAATATGGTAAAAAATTATTTGCAAATTTTAATTTCTTATGATAATCGTTCACCACATGCAGTAAACTTAATTAAATACCCACTGACTATATACTGGATAGAAATATCTGATACCAATTGAAAATTTGTCTGTGTGTCAAACATAAGGTACCATCGGTATCAGATCGAATTACAGGCTACTACTGTTCAGCAGAATGATGATCGGAGTCATTAACCAAAATCATTCATTTAATTTTACTGTTGTTGTAGATGATATGAATACCTCGCCTTTTCAGCGACCGCAAGCCGCCATCTCATCATCAATGGAATATAAACATATCAAAATTCTAAACTGATGAAGCTGAAATACTCTTGTGTGTCGTCGAAGAACGATGAATAGGTCCAGAGTTGGTTTCTGATTAACTCACAAAACCTGTTCATTTGACAAATGAGGGCAGTAAGAGATGAACTGCACTACTGGAGCGCATCCAAGTACTTTCTCCTGTCCGGCTTCTTGAAAGATTATGTTGCAGACGCCTTTTGGTTTCTAACGTACCAGACGATGCAAAAGACAACAGAACTTCCGAAGTCAGTCACCTTCTTTGCCTTGATGAATTTCCGAGAGACATTGGTTGAAACATAGGCACTAATCAATCATCCAATTAAGCATACTTTTGGATAATAATTTTCCTTCACAGCCGCTTCTCTTTTTGGGTCGCAGAGGCAAATGCGTTACACAGTGCTTCCAACGTTTCCAATCTTCTGCCAAAGGTTGAGCTTCGATAGAGGGCAACCAGAGTTTAGACCAGACTAAATTTATATATTAGCATCTGGCTAATCTGTGCCATGACTTAGGTCATCTTCATGGCGGCCTATGACTCATAGCATCAAGTCGAGACGTGTCAGCTTAGGACTTGTCCTCGCCATGACTGCGTTCTGTCTCTTCCTCTGTTTCTGTTTCTCTTCCATAGAATGGTCAGGCGCAACCAGGACAATGAGCGCATTAGCACAGGAGATGTCGAGACGAGAAGGTTGCTGTTTGCAAAAGTCGTTGTTGGCATTTTCTGAAACTGATCTCCAGCATTATCTGGAAAGGTTCACAACTGAGTGAGACGTATCTGGCAAACGTGTGGACGTGATCAGATTGAAAAGTCTGGTGTTTTCTCGTTTGCATACCCGTTGCGCTCTTCGAATAAGTAGAGACGCAGCGGATCAGGTGGAGTTCATTTACCTCGGGGGTCATGTTTACCGGTGTTGGAAAATTTGAAGAGATCGACCAGTGAACCGACAGTGTCAGCTGCGTTTTTTATGAACTGGCGTGAAGCTTCGTGGCTGTAGAAGACGTGCGTTCGAAGACTGAGCTCTTCGTGTTCAAGTTGTTTTTCATCTCAGTGCTGTCCTACGGTACTAAATCGTGGGCTGTGAATGAGAAACTTGGGTAATGTGTGCAAAAGGCTGAAACGGCTTTCTGAAATTAATCGCTTGACTCACTCGTCTCGATATGTTCTGCAGTACAGACCGAGAAATCCTTCGTGTATTGCAGCTGCTATTCAAGATTCAGAAGTCACAAATGCGATGGTTTGTGCATTGAATGTCTTCAGAAAGTGAGACGAAACACATACTACTTACTCAGTCGAACGGAGGAAGACCGGAAAATGGCGGAGATTAAACTGGGGCAAGTGTATTGAAGGACTCAATTCTAGACTCCGGCTGTATTCTGTAGAAGCTCAAACGCTGATACATGATCGTGAAGGTTAGAACCACTGTCTGATGCGTCTGCGTTCACAACTCCAATCGTTAAATAATCGTCGAAACTTACTGATTTATTTATATCGATCTGTCCATTTAAAAAAATTATTTTGCAAACAAGCCATGAGTCACTATTTCTTGCGCAATTTATTCCGCAAATTTCACTTACTGCGCAACAGTCTTATTTACTTTATGTACATAAGGGCTTTATATCGAGGATGCTGTATGTATGCCTGCAATCAAACTGTACTAAGGAACCAAATTATCGCAATTCATGCATAAAGGATTTGTTTTATCAGGTATTGCTTTTCCGACATGCCTTCTAATGACCGAGTTGGCACCGCATATTATTGAAATTTTGCAAGCTTTTCTTTTAGCTGGATTCATTAATTCAAACGAATATGTGATCATGAAGGTTATCAGAAACGAATAGAAACAAAGTCAAACAAAATCCTAGTTTGACAAATGATGTTCGTTTTAAACTCTATCCAGTAATATTCACTCTTATTTTTCTCCGTTCTTCGGCACACTCCTGTACTTCTGCTGCGTCGTCTCAGCACTCAGCATTGTTCATCTGTCTTGCAGAGACAGGAGCAGATCATAAAAACTCTTCTGGTCGCTCTCCTGAACAAAATGCATAGTCTAACCAGGCTACGATGGAGCCAAGTGTCGTACATTTTGCTATCTTCCTCATCTTCTAATGTTAAAGTCCCTAGTTCTGGGCTATTCGATGACCAGTCCGTCTGTGTTTTCGAACTCTCGCCACTGAGCTGTAGTTCCTCGCGCAGTAGACGTTCCTGAATTGCTCTTGCCACTTCTTCTTTTTTTTGTTTTTCTTCAGCAAGAATGCGCGATTTTCGTTCTTCTTTCCTCATATGTTCTTCAAGCTCGTTGATTTTCTCGGCAACAGCTTCGACCTGCAAAAGTCGATTTCAGTCAAGATTGTTGAAAAAAACAGCACTGCTAAAAATGGAAAAGAAGTCGCATGAATGTGACCAAGCTTTCCTAAAAGTATTGGTTATGGTCACAGCTTCCTCAATCATGGTCACTTTCCTTCCAGCTATGATTTTAATTTCCCATTTAGACACAACCGAAGCATCTTATTTTTGCCTGTTAGCATGAATTTATTCCTACCCTTCTATAACTGTCTAATTAACGTCAGATTCAAAGTCACCCTTATGAAACGCATTATCCCAAGCAATATCTGGCATAGCGAACATTTCATAACAGAAGACCTGCTTTAAATTAGGCTATTTATCGAATGGATTGCAAAAGTTGTGAAAATGATTATGACGCAAAGACGTACTAAAACTTGTCTAACAGAAGGCATCCCTAATTCCAAAATAGAAGTGAAAAGCAGTCTGCCATTGGAAAGCATGCTATGGGCAACTTATACCATGCTCGTAGCAAGGATGTGATAAATTTAGAGCATGACAACACTGCTGTCGGTTTCATGATACGGAAATCAGTTTTTATTAAAACATTTGATGCAGCATGTGTAAATTATGAATCGAACTTCAAAAATCCTTCATGCAGTTCGAACATCGTCTTAAATAATTTAATTTCTGTCATTTAGTCTATTTCTATTCATTTTTTCTCTTTTCTTTCCGTATATCACCCTTTGTATTTTTTTTCTTTAATTTCTTGCCCCTGTTCATTTTACTTCGCTCAGTGTTTCCTTGCCTTTCGCTTGTTCACAGCGATCCTTTTGTAGTATGCTTACTCATCCGTTTTATTGCGATATTTCTTTCGCTAAGTATTTGCCGCGGGGATTCAAAGGCACTGCAAATGTACTGCAAATAGAGTAAGTAATTTTCGACGGCAACACGTCTCTGATTTTGTGAAGCTTCAATGGAACCACGAGAAACAGAGTTAAATTACGTCTTAAAAGCTAAATCAATCAGCAGTTAGCGATCAGAGAAATTGCAGCACAATGGAATATATATACCGATGTGGACATAGGCAAAGGCTGTATGTGCATTTGTCTAGGCAGCATGTCGTGAACGAGAAACGGCACCAGCAACCTTGAATGAACCCACGACACTTTTCATACTATTCATTTGTGCTGAAGATGACTTCTCTGTGAGATTCGAAAACTTAAATTATAAAATATATTAATTCGAGGCTTCAAACCATCTTTCCTTTTCTCCATTATCATACAAGTCTGCTTACTGCGTTTCGAAGTAAATATTACAGTTTAAATTTCTAAATTAAATTAGAATATAAATACTGTTTTGAGTAGCATCAGATCTCAAAAAATCTATGGTCGACTGAAGATATTTAATTGTGGTAATGTTTAAAAGACCAGTTTACTCAAAAACGAAAAAACTAAAACAAAATCTTCCTGGGGCCGGTATTCAATTTTACAATATGTTTGTTTTGCTTGATGAAAGCGATTGCACTTTTATCATGCAGAAATCCGACGGAATCAATTGATTAATTAGCTACAAATGCTGTTAGTGTTTCAGATTTGAAACAGTAAAAAATTAAAAAATTTCTCACCAAGTTTACAACGCTGGATTGTTGTACACGAATCGATTTAGGTAATTGTTCTTCATTGCTTTTGGGCATGAGAGTTTCCGACTGCGAGCCGAAAAGTCGCTCTTCATTCAGGCACAATAAACATGTGCTGTTTTTTTCCGGTGGGCAGTTATCTGGCGACAACGTTTTCTCATTGTGGAAGTGAGTCGTCGAGAAGAGGTTTAATTCCGTTCGAAAGTTGGCCGTTTCGCTTTCGGTTTCTGACTTCTGCTGGCACTTTTCATTGAGCATGTGAAAAGTCTTCCGACGCTTAGCCGTCACCCCGTAACGCCTTTCCGTACACGTGAAGTAGTTCAAGTAGATGTCAGTTTACACCAACAGAGTTGGTGCCGACAATTTTGTTCTAATCGACTGCTGCAGTTTACGTTACGGCACATCGGGCACAAGCAATATTTTAAAACGAAGATGATTATCCGACATTAAATGCGAGAACAAAGCCCATACGTGTTTAAGAAATAATCAATATCATGCATCAAAATATTAATGATCGAAATTGGCGGTCGACGCACGAGGTTCGTCTCTTTCATTACTTACTTCCGAATCCGCAATATTTTAAAAGTTGACGAAGTGAAAAAAACGAGTTTCAAACTCATCACTGAGGAACTTTCGAACTGAGGCTTTGCAGAAACATTCGACCACATAAGTTTTGATAAGATAGAATTGAAACTAAATTGCTGTTTCATACTACTGAACATGTAGACGCCGCCATCTAACTGCTCACCCGTCGTTATTCAAGCGTTAGCTGGCTTCTTTTCAAATTTTACAATAGGAATGCACTTTAAGCCCAGCTTGAGACTAACTTGGGCTCGAGCTGAACATGTGAACTGGTCTGCACTAAATTAGCTCTTTGTAAGCTATAATATTTTTTTGCGTCAGTCAGCTATATGCTGGTGACTATTTCGATGGCGGCTTCATCTTTAAAACTACGAAGGCGAAAGTACTAGACAATGTCTTCAGATATTTCCGTTCCTATATCAACGTTTAATGGAAGACAACCCGAGTCTCGCATGAGTCTAGCAATTTGCCTCGGAACGCCATTTCAACCGCATGCACTCTGAATAAAATTTTCTTAGGTATATATAGTTTAAGTCAAGTTCTACATTAACTGTGGAGTTCGCCATGGAGATGTGCATTCACATGTGCTATTCACAATCGTTCTTGTAACTCTTCTCCGAAACTCTGCTGACCCTGGTAAGACTTCTCATTCAAGACGGACGGCATAGTTTGAAATATCAAGCTATCTGGTAAGGTGTCTTACTGACATTAAGAACGTAGATGATATTGTTCTTGCCAGTAGTACGGGAATGGTATCTGTTCCGGGTTCCGCACACAGCTCAGCTGCAAACGCTGGTCTGCTTCTTAATTCTCCAAAGTCAAAGGTCGTAAGGAATCTATCTGGCATTGCTAGTCCAGAAGTTGAACAGGGAAGTGAAGCGCATCAGGAAATTGACCAATTTAAATATCTCAACCCTATAATTTCCGGCAATGACACTGCACAACCGGAGTTTAGCAAAGTCGTAATAATAGATCGGAGTGCTTTTGGACATTTGTCCAGTATTTTGGCTAAAATGTAACT